AATTGAGGGGTGGCGTTATTAGAAAGAATTAATTCAACTGATTTTTATAATTTACTCTTTTATTTTTTACACATATGAATATTAAAACATCATAAAATGTAGATAAAAATATTTTATATTTTATAAAAAAACAAATTTGCATAAATTTTTTAATGATTTTTACCTTCGCATGAATGATTTTTATACATATGTAATACATGCGAGTAAACGAAACTGATAAATTGAATTATTAATAAAAGTGAAATGTTGTAACGAAACGAATATGGTGAGGTAATTAAAAAGGTATTTGGAAAATGTATGTATTGCTAATGTTTTTAATATAAGAAAAGTGTTCAAGAAAGCATTTAGTTTGAAAGAGTTTTTTTCTGAATCATGCTATTCGAAATCCGGTTGGATTTTCGATAAAAACACTGTTAGCGATCTAATGGCGATCTTTAGCAAGTTCAGGCTCGTGTTTCTATTTCTAATTCATTTCTGTTTTAGTTCTGTTCTGTTCTAGTTCTGTTCTAGTTCTGTTCTAGTTCTGTTCTAGTTCTGTTCTAGTTCTGTTCTAGTTCTGTTCTAGTTCTGTTCTAGTTCTGTTCTAGTTCTGTTCTAGTTCTGTTCTAGTTCTGTTCTAGTTCTGTTCTAGTTCTGTTCTAGTTCTGTTCTAGTTCTGTTCTAGTTCTGTTCTAGTTCTGTTCTGTTCTAGTTCTGTTCTAGTTCTGTTCTAGTTCTGTTCTAGTTCTGTTCTATTTCTGTTCTAGTTCTGTTCTAGTTCTGTTCTAGTTCTGTTCTAGTTCTGTTCTAGTTCAGTTCTACTTCAGTTCTAGTTCAGTTCAAGTTCTGTTCTAGTTCAGTTCTAGTTCAGTCCAAGTTCAGTCCAAGTTCAGTTCAAGTTCAGTTCTAGTTCAGTTCTAGTTCAGTTCTAGTTCAGTTCTAGTTCAGTTCTAGTTCAGTTCTAGTTCAGTTCTAGTTCAGTTCTAGTTCAGTTCTAGTTCAGTTCTAGTTCAGTTCTAGTTCAGTTCTAGTTCAGTTCTAGTTCAGTTCTAGTTCAGTTCTAGTTCAGTTCTAGTTCAGTTCTAGTTCAGTTCTAGTTCAGTTCTAGTTCAGTTCTAGTTCAGTTCTAGTTCAGTTCTAGTTCAGTTCTAGTTCAGTTCTAGTTCAGTTCTAGTTCAGTTCTAGTTCAGTTCTAGTTCAGTTCTAGTTCAGTTCTAGTTCAGTTCTAGTTCAGTTCTAGTTCAGTTCTAGTTCAGTTCTAGTTCAGTTCTAGTTCTGTTCTAGTTCAGTTCTAGTTCAGTTCTAGTTCAGTTCTAGTTCAGTTCTAGTTCAGTTCTAGTTCAGTTCTAGTTCAGTTCTAGTTCAGTTCTAGTTCAGTTCTAGTTCAGTTCTAGTTCAGTTCTAGTTCAGTTCTAGTTCAGTTCTAGTTCAGTTCTAGTTCAGTTCTAGTTCAGTTCTAGTTCTAGTTCAGTTCTAGTTCAGTTCTAGTTCAGTTCTAGTTCAGTTCTAGTTCAGTTCTAGTTCAGTTCTAGTTCAGTTCTAGTTCAGTTCTAGTTCAGTTCTAGTTCAGTTCTAGTTCAGTTCTAGTTCAGTTCTAATTCAGTTCTAGTTCATTTTGTCGACAACTACTTAGATTTTAAATAAATTTGAAAACTTGTTCCCACTATTCAACTCGTAAATATTTAAATTTTCGCTGTTGTATTACTCGTGCGACCGAGGGCAGTTGTTAAAGGGTGTTTGTTTTGGAGATGAAATTAAAAATGAAAAACATTTCTGGCATATCGGACAAAGAGGTTGATCTCATACACCTGTTTTTATATGCCCAGGAGAAATTCCAATTAGGATTTGTTGGCGTCATTTACAAACTGAACTAGGCGGACAATGAAAGCCGATCATTTTGAAAGTGAATTTGAGTGTACTGTGACATAGTCGGGCTGAAGATAAGATGAATCTGTTCGTAATTTATTGTTTTGAGATGATTGCTTTCGATATTCCAAAAGGAATCTAGTACATTTTTGATAAGAAAGCCTATTCGAAAGTTTTACAGCCCCTAAATAAAACACCCTTCTTTATGTAAATTTTTTATAATTACTCATATCATGAGTTATAGTAGCCACTAAAGAAAAAAGACGAATAACAATTTGTTAATTTGCAAAATTTATTTTTAATTCCACTACATTAATGCAGATTGTAGATTTGATGGATGTTGAACATTAAATTGAATAAATGTGGATCTCTACGACAAACATCCATCTATTCGTCCATCCATCCAGCCAACCGACCATTTATAACAACTATTTATTTGCATTCGTAACAATTTATTTCGCTTTTATTTTATACGTTTTTTTCTGGTATTTATAATGAATATAAAAATGCATTTTTTATATTTATTTTTATGCACATCTGATGATAATGATGATCATGAGAATGATTTCGTTGATGACGTTTATTGTAGTTTTAATGTTGCTGTTAATATTTTTCTTCTTCGTATTTCCAAGCAAATTTATAAATATAAATTGACGTCAATATTTCTTTTAATTTATATTGCAAATTTTTTTCATATATATTTATCTCACTTTTTCTCTATAGAGCATTCTATAGAGCAGAGTGTTGTAAATTAGTTTTCTTATGTCATTTGTAATGGATTAAGGTAAACATATGTTGAAAACATAATTTAGATTTGTTTTATGTAAATATAAAGCTATTTAAAATCATGTCGGGTCCAAATGTGTTCCTTCTGTCAAATATTTAATTGGTTATTTGCTTATGATGGTTCATATGCAAATAATCTAGTTTCAGTTCTAATTCAGTTCTAGTTCAGTTCTAGTTCAGTTCTAGTTCAGTTCTAGTTCAGTTCTAGTTCAGTTCTAGTTCAGTTCTAGTTCAGTTCTAGTTCAGTTCTAGTTCAGTTCTAGTTCAGTTCTAGTTCAGTTCTAGTTCAGTTCTAGTTCAGTTCTAGTTCAGTTCTAGTTCAGTTCTAGTTCAGTTCTAGTTCAGTTCTAGTTCAGTTCTAGTTCAGTTCTAGTTCAGTTCTAGTTCAGTTCTAGTTCAGTTCTAGTTCAGTTCTAGTTCAGTTCTAGTTCAGTTCCAGTGCAATTCTAGTTCAGTTCTAGTTCAGCTCTAGTTCAATTCTAGTTCAGTTCTAGTTCAGTTCTAATTCAGTTCTAGTTTAGTTCTAATTCAGTTCTAGTTCAGTTCTAGTTCAGTTCTAGTTCAGTTCTAGTTCAGTTCTAGTTCAGTTCTAGTTCAGTTCTAGTTCAGTTCTAGTTAGTTCTAGTTCAGTTCTAGTTCAGTTCTAGTTCAGTTCTAGTTCAGTTCTAGTTCAGTTCTAGTTAGTTCTAGTTCAGTTCTAGTTCAGTTCTAGTTCAGTTCTAGTTCAGTTCTAGTTCAGTTCTAGTTCAGTTCTAGTTCAGTTCTAGTTCAGTTCTAGTTCAGTTCTAGTTCAGTTCTAGTTCAGTTCTAGTTCAGTTCTAGTTCAGTTCTAGTTCAGTTCTAGTTCAGTTCTAGTTCAGTTCTAGTTCAGTTCTAGTTCAGTTCTAGTTCTAGTTCAGTTCTAGTTCAGTTCTAGTTCAGTTCTAGTTCAGTTCTAGTTCAGTTCTAGTTCAGTTCTAGTTCAGTTCTAGTTCAGTTCTAGTTCAGTTCTAGTTCAGTTCTAGTTCAGTTCTAGTTCAGTTCCAGTTCAGTTCTAGTTCAGTTCTAGTTCAGTTCTAGTCAGTTCTAGTTCAGTTCTAATTCAGTTCTAATTCAGTTCTAGTTTAGTTCTAATTCAGTTCTAGTTCAGTTCTAGTTCAGTTCTAGTTCAGTTCTAGTTCAGTTCTAGTTCAGTTCTAGTTCAGTTCTAGTTCAGTTCTAGTTCAGTTCTAGTTCTGTTCTAGTTCAGTTCTAGTTCAGTTCTAGTTCAGTTCTAGTTCAGTTCTAGTTCAGTTCTAGTTCAGTTCTAGTTCAGTTCTAGTTCAGTTCTAGTTCAGTTCTAGTTCAGTTCTAGTTCAGTTCTAGTTCAGTTCTAGTTCAGTTCTAGTTCAGACATCATCAGACAGGATCACCATATGTGTATGTAGGCCCTATTAGTGGATTCCCGTTAGTGCAGACTTCAGTGTAGAATTCAATTATTCATTGGAACTGGATCTGTTTTCGTATGATATGAAATTGATTCCTCGAAACAAAACTGACTGGAGCGTAGCCACTGTCCGTGAAAATATACAAGAGAAGACGAGGCAGAGGATTCCCATTGGTGCAGAAGAACTCTGATTTTTGCAGACTTTAACTTATCAGGGGAGATTTAGACTTGTTTCTGTTCAAAAAACAACAGACGCCGCTAAAGCCGATTGCCCCTTAATATGTGTTCTGAACGTTAAGGTTCACTCTTCCAAACTTGTATCTTCGCCCGGACTTGACCTGAAACCAACTGATCAACTGAAAACTTTGACACTCCAGGTGATAAATCCGTTTGACCTTTGATTGATATTGGAAGCGTTTATTTGCAAGGCGACTAGTTCGGTAAACAATCAGGTAGCACCCATAAGTTTAAGGATCGCCCGTGAAAATATATGTATATCTTCTCGGAAACCTCCTGTGCCTTTATTTGGCATCCCGACCTTTGTCAAAGTTGATAATCAAAGATTACGATTACTTAACTTATAAAATGCAGCCACAAAAGGACAAATATTGGGTTGACATGATCCTAACTCCTTTGGAAACGACATCAGTTATCAAATTCCAAACGTCTGATTCAATACTGAACACTAATCTTAATATGGCAACCAGACTTAGACGTGATCCTTTATGAGATCTACTTAGATTTTGGAGAGTTTGATAGATTATTTCAATGAGGATAGCGAATCCTTTATCTAATAAAATAATTAACTTTTACCTCTCTTATATCCGAAAAGTGCAAGAAAATTTTGTTCTTTTTGTTCTATTCCTTTAATTTGTTAAATTCCAATTCCTTTTATTTAAACTTTAATTTTTTCCACTTTTCTTAACATTTGTTTTTCCTTTCCCTCTTTCTCTCTCTCTTGCAGGTTTCTGGTGACAATCCTGTTTTTGTTGAAAGCGTGAAACCAGGTGGTGCAGCACAAATTGCTGGTTTAGTTGCTGGCGACATGATCTTAAAGGTCTGTTACAATTTTGTTTATTTCCATTAAAGTAATACGAAAAAATTAGAAAAAATAACAACAAATATGTATAAATATTTATATTGAACAACTGTGTGGTTTATTTAATGTTTTGTTTTTGTTTTTTCTCCCTCATTCATACAGGTCAATGGTACAGAAGTACGTTCGGAGAAACATCCAACTGTTGTTAGTTTAATAAAAGGTAAATATATAGAAGTAGAAGAAGAAAATATGTTGAAATTTTATTTGATAAACAAAGTTTCTATATTGTATATTTGCCATGAACAATTTATTAATTAATTAGAATAAATAATGAAATTCTAGATAATTTTAGCGATACTGGTAGAAGTATGAAGATATAGTTGTTAAACCTCATATAAAAGACCGATTATTAAAGAACTAAATATTATAAAGAGACTCAAACCAAAAGGTTTTAGAAATACTTAAGATTAATGTTAAGATCAGTGATCGTCATGAAGAAAACTTTGTTTTCGAAAGTTTTACTTCTTGTGACTTCGGAACCCCCTAAAAGCATACGTTTCGATGCCCAGCCAACGCTGAAACTGCTTTATGTATGATCATTATCCTCGAGCTCCTCAATCAGTTGAGTAGCCTCTCATGTTGAGCTTGGACCACTTTATAAAATTAGTGCCTTAGAGAGGACCCCATTAAAATAGGGTCTCTTGATGTCGATCACTGCTATAGCTAACCATTACTATTCATTTCTTGCGTCAGGTTCAATTTCAATAAACCAAACATGCGTCACTTTGTCTACAATTGAAAATGGAATTCTAAATTCTATTAATGCGACTTTCAATTCACCACTAACTGTCAATTAATACGAGTAAAAAAACTGCTGTTTGGGTTCTGATGTTATTCTGATGTTGTTGTATATGTTATCGATGATCACATGTTATGGTTAGTGTGAATGTACGCGTAAAAGTGGGTGGGTGTTAATGATGATGTTGTTGTTGTTGCTATTGCTGTTAATTATATTAATATTCAGAGAACATTATATCTTTTTTTGTATTTGTAGTGAAATTATTATCAATATGTATCCACATACATATATAGATATAGAATTCTATTATTTTGTTTATTATTTACAGTTTTTTTCACTGTTAAACGTTTAACAATTTATTAAACAGATCTTTAAGGGAATTTGTTGTTTAATTAGCGCAGATCTTGTTTAGTAAGCAAAAGTTGTAAATATCAAAGGATTATTAGATCGAAACTGAGGAATCGTAGGCTATCAATATGTCGTTGTGTCAAAAATTAGAAATTTCACCAACTTCTCTTCGATTAACTTTAGGCTTTCTCATCTTCTTTGTTCTGCTCGCTAACAAGATTGAACTGATAAGCGGAGACTCTTTGAAGTTGTCGTTTCTGCCTCCAATTAGTAGAAATTTGCTTCGGAACTTAAGCCTGCAATTGATATAGGATCTCAAACTTCATGACCCTAACAACTATAATAGGCAGGAGAAGTGAAGGCAATGCAATCAATATAGTGAATAAGTAAACAGACATTCGCAGACTTTAACTTGGCCTTGGCTCTTCAGATTCTAACTAAACGATTTTATTATCAAAATAAGTGTTGGGTGACTCTTCATTCCCACTTTTTGTTCCGAAATTTGAGAAGTACAGTGAACAATCAAACAATCGATCTTAATTTATCATTCGGACTTAGACCTGCTCCCTTTATAAGATCTAACTGAATAAATTTGAAGATCAAAAACAATGATAACTACGGTTTCAGAGAGTTTGAAAGTGGATCCTAATTTGACCCAAAACATTTGCAAAAGTAGATAGAAGAATTGGAATTGAACAGATCTATAGTCCAGACTATAGACTGCTCTATAGTCCAGACTATAGACTGCTCTATAGTCCAGACTATAGACTGCTCTATAGTCCAGACTATAGACTGCTCTATAGTCCAGACTATAGACTGATCTATAGTCCAGACTATAGACTGATCTATAGTCCAGACTATAGACTGATCTATAGTCCAGACTATAGACTGATCTATAGTCCAGACTATAGACTGATCTATAGTCCAGACTATAGACTGATCTATAGTCCAGACTATAGACTGATCTATAGTCCAGACTATAGACTGATCTATAGTCCAGACTATAGACTGATCTATAGTCCAGACTATAGACTGATCTATAGTCCAGACTATAGACTGATCTATAGTCCAGACTATAGACTGATCTATAGTCCAGACTATAGACTGATCTGATCTATAGTCCAGACTATAGACTGATCTATAGTCCAGACTATAGACTGATCTATAGCCCAGACTATAGATCAGTCTTTTGACTGGACTATAGATCAGTCTTTAGACTGGACTATAGATCAGTCTACAGACTGGTCTATAAACTGGACTATAGATCAGTTTATAGTCTGGACTATAGATCAGTCAATAGTCTGGACTATAGATCAGTCTATAGTCCGGACTATAGATCAGTCTATAGTCTGGACTATAGATCAGTCTTTAGACTGGACTATAGATCTGTCTACAGACTGGTCTATAAACTGGACTATAGATCAGTTTATAGTCTGGACTATAGATCAGTTTATAGTCTGGACTATAGATCAGTCAATAGTCTGGACTATAGATCAGTCTATAGTCCGGACTATAGATCAGTCTATAGTCTGGACTATAGATCAGTCTATAGTCCGAACTGTAGATCAGTCTATAGTCTGGACTATAGATCAGTCTATAGTCTGGACTATAGATCAGTCTATAGTCAGGACTATAAATCAGTCTATAGTCTGGACTATAGATCAGTCTATAGTCAGGACTATAAATCAGTCAATAGTCTGGACTATAGATCAGTTTATAGTCTGGACTATAGATCAGTCAATAGTCTGGACTATAGATCAGCCTATAGTCTGGACTATAGATCAGTCTATAGTCCGGACTATAGATCAGTCTATAGTCTGGACTATAGATCAGTCAATAGTCTGGACTATAGATCAGTCTATAGTCCGGACTATAGATCAGTCAATAGTCTGGACTATAGATCAGTCTATAGTCCGGACTATAGATCAGTCTATAGTCTGGACTATAGATCAGTCTATAGTCTGGACTATAGATCAGTCTATAGTCCGGACTGTAGATCAGTTTATAGTCTGGACTATAGATCAGTCAATAGTCTGGACTATAGATCAGTCTATAGTCCGGACTATAGATCAGTCTATAGTCTGGACTATAGATCAGTCTATAGTCCGGACTGTAGATCAGTCTATAGTCTGGACTATAGATCAGTCTATAGTCTGGACTATAGATCAGTCTATAGTCAGGACTATAAATCAGTCAATAGTCTGGACTATAGATCAGTTTATAGTCTGGACTATAGATCAGTCAATAGTCTGGACTATAGATCAGCCTATAGTCTGGACTATAGATCAGCCTATAGTCTGGACTATAGATCAGTCTATAGTCCGGACTATAGATCAGTCTATAGTCTGGACTATAGATCAGTCTATAGTCTGGACTATAGATCAGTCTATAGTCTGAACTATAGATCAGTCTATAGTCTGGACTATAGATCAGTCTATAGTCTGGACTATAGATCAGTCTATAGTCTGGACTATAGATCAGTCTATTGTCTGGACTATAGATCAGCCTATAGTCTGGACTATAGATCAGCCTATAGTCTGGACTATAGATCAGCCTATAGTCTGGACTATAGATCAGATCAATCTATAGTCTCGACTATAGATTAGTCTAAATATAAATTAGTCTATAGTCTGGACTGTAGATCAGTCTGCAGATTGAACTATAGATCAGTCTATAGTCCGGACTATATATCTGTATATAATCTGGACTATAGGTCTTTCTATAATATGGACTATAGATCTATATATTAGTCTGTAGGGATTGTCCGAATTCACAATAGAGGATGCCAAAGCATAAATTCTTTTGTCTGAATTTTTGTCAAACTTAAAAATCGTCGTTTCACTCTAAAGCTATTGATCGTGATCTTTAGAAACGAATTGTTTGGCATGGGTTTTGGATCTGCCGTCCTTATTTGAAGTAGTCATTAGAAAGTCCATCATATTCCTGGGAGATCGGTACAAATCAAAGATGATAACTAATTCCTTTTTAATGTGAATTACATGATTTTTGAGGAACCGTGCAACGTACCACAAAGTGAGCGCTATAGTGGAGAATCTGCTTGAACATTTTAGAATAAGTTCTTCTGACGGTTGTTTTCAGAATTCTTAATGTTCCAGGATATCGCTTCAAATCGTCTGTTCTTCGTAAACTTTTTAATTTAAACTTTTTGACTTTCCTCTTCGCTCTAATTCGTCCGAATATTTATCTTTAGCGTTGAAAATAGGTCCTTTGGTATCCTTTTGCTCGTAGTTGAAGAATATCGTTTTTAATTTATAATGGTGTGAGGGGGTCTTTCAAATACTATTTTAAGTATTTCCTATTAGAAAATTCATTGTTTATTTGACCTGTTTTGTTTTGCTAGTGATTGCTTTGTTGTTTACATTATTAGTTTTGTGTCTTTTGTCTTATGGTTTGCTCCCAACCACTTGGCACTTTTAAACCACTAAGTACTTGAAGGGTTTCCCTTAAATAAGCTAAAATATACAAAAATTCAAATCCAAATTTTCACATGCGTAAACTAGTAAAACTATTTTCCTGTTTCAGTTTAAAGCGATTGGATATCATATCGATCACTAAGTTGGTAAATACTTCATTGGCAAGTTTACTTTTCACTTTTATTTTTGTTGATATGGGAAACCCTTGTATTTGTATTATGCATATTCATGTATGAATTTTATTAATTAATTTTATATCTTTATTTTTTTCACTTGTTGTTTTTTTTTTTACTATTTTGTTATTGCTTTGCTTTCGCATTTTTTCCATTCATTTTCATGCAAAAAAAAAAACTGTGTCGTTGACTTTGTCTTTATAAGTTCATACAATTTCGCTTCTTCATTTTATACTCCCTTCTCCTATTCGTTCAATTGATGAGGATCTGTTTGTTGCGGAGAGTTACGCTAAGTGTATGATTTCCATTTGTATACAAAGTCGATACCCACTCGACTCTATTTGGGCTACAATAACAGCTAATGGGGGCTGCATTATAAACAGTCTGACACATGGACTAGTGTCGAAGAGGACAGACGACTTGTTTAATTTATGTAAATATCAAGTTGCCAGAATTAGGTAATTTT